TTTTTTTTTTAGGGGATTTGGGCACAATAGAAAGACACGGGGCCGGGGCCGCAGGGGTCGCTCTTCGGCCAGGGCACACAGGGGGGCGGGCGGGGGCGGTTTGCGAAGGGGGGAAAACCGGGGTTTCGGGAGCAGCCCTTGTTGGAACAAGGGGCCGGGGAAAGGGCCCCCCCCGCGGGGGGCGCTGTCGTTTCTGCGCTTTCCCTGTTGCAGCGAGGGGCAAAAAGGGCCTTGGCGGGCCGGGTGGGGGCCCGTCCCCCGAGGGGCTCCCCCTGCGCGAGGGTCAGGGGCAGGGCGCGGGGGCCGTCGGCGGCCGTCGGCAGAGGGATGGACACGGGCGCGCGGCAGCCGCGGCAGGTCGTGTCGAAGAGGCAGAGGGGGCACTGGGGGCTGCCGAGGGCGGTGCTGGCCGTCATGCAGTTTGCGCCCAGGACGTGGCCGCAGTGGAGGAGGATGGCGGGCTCTGTTTCGGGCAATGAGCTTGCGGGCGGGACGGCGAAGATGTCGAGGTTTGCGGAGCAAAAGGTGCAGGCGGGGCCTGGCCTGGCGCGGGACTCTGCGTTGTCGGGGCGCTTGATGCTGTGGCTGATGATCTCGGGCCAGAAGTACGAACAGCGTGCTGCTGGGCCTACTGTCGTCCTCGGGCTGACCGGTGGGCTGCTTGAACAGCTTGAAGCAAGCTCATCGAAGGGTGGTACAGGCAGGCTTCGGGGAGCTGCTGACTGGAGTCTGCTGAGGGAGCCGTGGGCGCACGTCCAGAGAGGAGCGCCGCATGTTCGGCAGTCGGAGAACTTGGGCTTGTCATCCGAACCGACGTTGCTGTTGGCGTGATGGTCGAGTGGCGGCGCGGTGTTGTCAACATTTGGCGACTTTGATACAACAGCGTCGTCATCATCGCTGCGTGGCAGAGCATGCTCGGTGCTACTGGCCATGTTGGCTGCCAAACAACGCGACTCGTCACGGCGCCACGAAGAAGCCGGGTTGGGGTTTGTCTCCTGTGGTGACACATAGTCGGGTAGGTCGGGTGTTTGAAGTATTATGCTGACACGAGGTGATTCGACGCGCTGCTTCTTTTGCGATGGCCCCTGGGCTAGAAGCAAAGTATGAGCTCCATCATGGACAGATTTAAGGCGGCGTTTCTTGGATGTGGTGTTTGGCATCATCGGTTGGTTATTAGAGAAGGTTAGGTCTGACACCGAAAGGTTGGTGCCCTTTGAACGGCCCGACCGAAGTTGCATGTTTTGATGAGGAGGTGGAAGCAAAATAAGGATCTTGACGGTGTGGCAGTTCGAAGTCCCAGTTTGAAGTGGTGATACAGATACGAAGCCAACACGCTGACATTGCCGTTTGGGTACTTATATGGCGACCGGTAGCCAGAGTTGATGATCCGTATCAGAGGGGTCTTGAGATTGCCGCCGCTGAAAGAAACCATGACGGGGCTGTACATAGCGAGATGTCGCGCGTCATTGTTGAGAATGAACAGAAAAGCATCTGTCTGACAAAAGGAGTGTCGTCTTGACCAGGACAAGGCCTTGTGAGGATAGAGACCATGGCGGTTGGTCTAGCTGGCGAAGACATCAAAGAGGAAGCGGCGGTCTTGTTCAGGCGGGCGGCGAAAGGGGATGTTTTAGGAACAGTTTCGATCGTTGACGATTTTGGGACTTGTGTAACAGCCCTCGACTGCATGTTCCAGACGACAGACGAGACACCCTCGGCCTCCAATGAATAGTGCAGAGAAGTCATGTTCTGGGCACAATGTCGATTGATGATGTTCTGGAAGGGACGACACAGACTGGGCGTGGCGGGTTTCCTTTCTCAGCGAGGTACGTATCGGGGAGCTCTCATCGGCAACTAAGGTACTAAGTAGGTACCTTACTTGCAGTACCCACCCACGTACCCTTGCCATCGAATGATTGTCACCGAACGACCTCCCTGTCAAACTGTCAAAGAACAAGTGTGGCCTTGCGCTCCAGGCATCGACAGGTCTAGCCAATGCAGCTGTCTGCTTCTGGCGGCAGCTCCCTCTTAGCGTGGTGCCTAGAGCGCAATGGCTTTTAGCGCAGTGAGTACCGAATACCTCCCTGGCAACCTGGGTAGGTTTCTGGCGCGAGCTCGACAGGCAGGCACCGAACCCCTGTCACGCACGAGGCACCACCAGGACGAAGGCAGTGTGATAGCGATAGTGGGCGACAGTTTCCTCTTGTCACCAAACACCATCAGACACCTCGCTCGCTTCCAGTTGCGGTGCAGTGGCCGTCACACTCGCTACTACAACAACACTGAACGTCAATTGACACCGTCTCACCCCCCCAGATTCACCCATAACGCAATCATCTGCATTTCAACTGCCCGCAATGCCCACCGAGTACGAGGAAAACGACGTCGAGAGCTCAGCCGCAGCCGCCAGCGCTGATGTCGAGATGGAGGGCGCCACGGCTGTCGCGGGCGACGAGACGGTCGTTGCCGAAGAAACTGTCGTTGCCGAGAAGGATACCGCGCCAGAGCCACGCGCTACCTTTATCAGCTACCTCGTGAGCCCTGTCGTCACCCTGTTGATTGGCAGCAACGATAGCGAGTCCATCCTGACAGCGCACCAAGCCCTCCTCGTTCAGAGCCCCTTCTTCAAGGAAGCTTGCGCCCAGTTCAGCGATGATGGCAGTGTATGTTCCTACCCTCCTCGGCTCCCTTGATCTGGCGCCCCCCCCCCCCACCCGCTTGCTGACCTCTTCTCCGCCCAGCCCCGGCAGGTCGAGCTGCTCAACGAAGACGTCGACGCCGTAGGCAACTTCCTCGAATACCTCTACACAGGCGACTATTACCCCCGGAAGATCCCGGGTCAGCGCACCCTCGAGTTCGACCCCACGGCCCCCGAAGTCGACGACACGGGAGACCAGTTGCTCAAGCACGCGCGCGTGTACACCCTGGCCGAGAAGTTTGGCGTCGACGGCCTGCGCACCCTCGCCAGCTCCAAGATTCACTGCGTCGACTCGACCGCCAAGGGCGAGATCGCCTACGCCCGCTACGTCTACCAGTACACCGCCAAAGACGACACCACCATCCGTGCGCCCGTCGCGAGCTTCTGGGCCGCTCGCTCCCACCCCTGCGCGCCGAGGCCGAGTCCGAGTTCAAGGCCCTCTGCCTCGAGTTCCCCCAGTTTGGCTATCTCAGTGAGTGCTGCGTACACGATGCTCTGCCCTTGCTGACGTCATGTTTTTTTTTTCTCACAGCCCGCGTACTCGACGAGAAGCTCAACGCGAGAGCACGGCAAGATGCATCCCTCAAGTTCTCCGGCAGCGCCCGCAAGCGCGCGAGACACAGCGGTATTCGAGGAGAATAACGTACACATCGCCTGGACGGAGTTGAAACACATGCAGTACTGTGTCGTAGAGCGTGTTCATAGCTTACATATTCGTCAGGCATCACGAACGCCTTGGATTGTCCATGCGCATTCGTCAACACTGGGCGGCGGGCGGGCGAAGACGCATTGCGCCTGCACAGAGAGTCTGTGTTTGTGACATGATGGAACACCAACATGTTCCCTCTGGGAGCGCGTCACTTGAGCTCCGTGCAATCTCTTCAGACAATAGCATTGTGTTCGATGGATAATGTTGCGACAGCCGATCAGCAAGCCTCAGTCGCTTCGCGCAAATCGCCTGTCTCGAACTACAACCTATTGGTTGTTTGAGACCCCAAACCCGCAATCATGCTGAAGCATGGCAATGGCCTTGGTCACTCATGCCGTGGCATACTCTTGATTTGTTAAAAAAAAAAAAGGCGACTGTCTTCATTTCGACGTCAACATGATCGAACACGAACCCATGCACCTTGGACGACGACGAGTACCTATCAACCACAAGTCATTTTACCAGAGTCTCCTGTTCGCAACTGCTTGACAGATACGCTTCACGATATTGCACTTTACGAAGATTCGACCATCCGCAGTAAGATTCGATTGCCTTCTTAGTGACGCTATCTAACATGTCTAACGCACGCAGTTGGTTCGAGAACAGAAAATATTTCATGGATTTGGCCTCATCCGCCCAAGTGAGCACCAAGTTTGCGCCTGCCACTAGTGCTACCTTGATCAGTATCATTCACAGTCTGGAGAAAGTGGACGTCCACCATCGGCCCTGCGATGCGACTATCCCCGAGTCCGCCGTCGCCGAAAGTTTGCCGATACTGGAACCCGGCGTCAAGCTGTCTGGCCATTTCTGGCCTGACTTGAAGGAGCAGCTGTTTGCCCTGCCGGCCGACGAGGCCTGGGTGCACCCGGATCTTGACTGTCCCGTCTGCCGCGAGAAAATGGCCTTTGTCGGCGCCTACACGCTCGACGGCGGCCTGACAACCACGTCGGCCCACGCCCTCGAGGTGCTCCACAGCCACGGCATGGAGGCGGCGAGCGTGCTGCCGTGCGGCCACGTCGTCGGGCGCGAGTGTCTCGACCAGATTCTCGCGTCCCCCTTGCACAGCCGGTGCCCCTTCTGCAAGGCGAGCCTGCTGTACGGATGCGACGCGGCCCTGGAGACGCTGCCGGCGCCGATGGACCTCGTCCAGCTGCGCCGCTTCCCGGCCGTCGTCGTGCCCGAGGGTGGCTGGGCGCCCCGCCGCTGCTACGCCTGCGAGTTCGACGACTGGCGCGTCCAGTGGGCCGAGAACGTCCTGCTCCTCCTCTGCGTGCTCTGCAGCGACCTCGTCCGGCCGCTGATGACGGCCTCGAATTTTGTTCAAAGGGCGGGGAGGAAGAAGATCAAATCCGTTAAGCAGAAAAATCTTGATAAGTTGAGTGCGCGCTACGCGGCGTATAGAGAGACGTCTTTGAAGAAGCTCGAGGACCTTATGGCGGCTGCACAGGCAAATTTGCGCCATGTGGAAGAGGGGACGGGCATGACTTGGGCGTTGAACCTTTGGGCGTGAGATTTGTTTATACTTTGGGACGCGCTGGTCGCGCTTCCATGGAGCGGAGCTTCTTTGGGTTTCTGGAAGCATCATGCTTTATAGATGGGCATCACAGAATAGCTTCGTCCAGAATAGTTTTGTCTCTTGGCGCCAGTCTCGTCCGCCTACCCCTCGATTGCAGCATGGGATATAGATAAACACCGAGTCTCGGTCTTCGCTTGTCTTGCCACACTATAACCGTTATTGTACCGCGCGGTCCTTAAACATGCGAAGAACGTGCGTCGAAAAATACCTAGTGTTCATGTTTCCGTAACTGCTTCTGTTCTTGATGTTCGAGATCTTTGTTGACAGGAGCATGACCCCGGCCAACACAGAGGCAACAAGAATATTCCAATGAAAGGTTGAAGGGTGTTTTCCATATCATTCTAATTCGGCTCGGGCAGAAACTTGACAATCACTAACTTATAAAGGAAGCTCGACCTAAAACGGGCCTGCCTTTGCAAGGCAATCCCCGAGACCCAAAGATGTCGCAAAATATATCAGCAGCCGCCCCCCTGCAGAAAGATTGCAGTACAGCTTGCCCTTTTGACCCCGAAGACTGCTGGTTCCCCGAGATTCGAGAAAGACTGCAGGATAACCCGGCCCTTTTCAGTCAACTTGGCCTCGTGTGTGTCGTGTGCACCTCCGACATGCTCATCGCCGGAGATGGACGTCCAAAGTACCCGCGGCCCCCTTCTCGTGTGCCGGAAGATGACCTAGCTTTCGCCTGCGGCGAGGGCCCCGGAAGTGAGTCCAGCAAAGACTCGGTCCAGCTGGCGCTTCAGGAGAGGCAAGCTCGTGGGCTCCAGCCGCTCGAGCCGTGCATGGTCATGTTTTGCGGCCACATGTTCTGCGAACCATGCGCCCTCCTCCTCGGCGAGAACACTGTTGGAGGAACCGCAGAGTGCCCCTTGTGCAAAAAGGATTTGCGCCGTCCCTTGTGCGATCGGGACGAGCACCCACACCTGGCGATGATCCCCTTTCCTGCCACGAGCGCAGCTCTCCGAGGCTTCCCGCGGACATTGACGGAAGGGGGCCGGCTGCCTCCGGTTTGCGTGTGGTGTTTTGCAAACCTGCTCACGGACGGTCTTCTCAGAAGGTACCAGACTGCCCCTGGCGATGCTGCCAGATGCCCGATCGAAGCCGTGATGTACTGGGCGGGACCTGGGGAGTCTTCTGTTGTTTCCACACCGCTTGATCCCGAGCTTGGTAAATGGCAATCCGAGCTGGATGGGCTTCAGCTGGAGTTTCTGGACTTTGCTGGAGCTGACTGGGCTGGCGACCGGGTTTACCTGCCTGGGTTTAAAATGCTACTCCGAGTGGCGATGAAACGACGGGGCGCCATTTCTGAATAAGTAAGTTAGTGAACAATTCCGCTCTGATCATTGTCCATCTAGCTAGTGGTGATTGTTTGCCTTGAAATCGGCATCTTCCCTGGCGATTGCACCAGAGGGGGTATTACTTGCCCCAAAAGGCTAGAATTGGAAACGAAAAACGGCACTGCACGCCCTACGGAAGCAACAATGAAATTGGTGCAAATGATGTTTGTGTCTATTCTTTTTGTCTATGCCGCTATCATAAAAACGTGAAATCTGTCGTGCATATTGGCCTGGGCCAAGTCATCCATCAAATTAATCACAGGATGCCCTCGACAGACTGAACCACGGGGTACTTGTTGAACCTGGGGTTGTACACCTTCTGGCAGCGACTGTTGAACTCGTCGGTAGTGCCCTTGATCAGCGACAGCTCATCGGCAGGCACGCCGAGCTTGACGAGCGGACCGGACTTGGGCTTGGCCTTGTCCCAGCCGGGGCCGGCAGCAGGGTTCTTGATCCACTGCACAAACCAGCCGTGGATGGAGTCGGCAAGGGCCTGCTGGGCGGCGGTGACGCCCGAGAGTTTCTCGAAGCACTCGTTGCCGCCGTGGAAGAAGGGGACCTCGGTGCCGTGGGTGGGAGCGGTGCCGGGGGGGCCGACAACGTTGTCGTAGGCGCCGAAGAAGCGGTAGACCCAGGTATCCTGGGCGTTGCTGCGAAACGTCGACAAGGTAGTCGGAGGGGCAGTGAAGCGGGCATCACCGTACTGTGTGCCGCTGCGCAGGGACTCCGAGGCGAAGGATGAGGCCGGGTAGGCGCTGATCAGGTTGCAGTCGGGAATGTGCTGACTGTCAGCATCGAAAGTGTTGATCCAGGACGAGAAGTTCGTGTTCTGGCCGCCGTAGACGATGCTGAAGATGGTGCCCTCGCCATCGGAAGTACCGGTCAGGAGGGGAACGTGTGAGGCGTACTTGCCAGCGGCGAAGCGGGCGGCATAGTCGGAGTGCCGCGTGATGTCGTCGATGACGGGAGTGAACCAGGTGTTCGAGGTTGCGTTGAAGTTGGCAGTCTGGAAGGCGTAGAGATCAACGTCACGGAGGCAGTCGACTTGGCCCTGGCCGCCGGCCGGGCATCCGACCTCAGCGGCAACGATGTCCAAAGCCTCATTCTGGGGCGCGTAGCCGGGGCCAGACAGGGCATTGGCGCTCATCTCAACGGCACCCTTGAGCCAGGTGTCAGGGTGGTTCCAGAGATAGTGGTCCACCTGCACGGAGCCCGAAGAGTGTCCACCAAAGACGATGTGGTCGGGGTTGCCACCAAAAGCTGAACGATTGTTAGCATGATGGACTTGAGGCCGGCCCGTCATGGAAACTCACCCTTGATGTTTTCGCGAACCCAGTCAAGGGCCTTTTCAACATCGAGAATGCTGAAATTCTGGGACTCGCCGGGGTTGGCAGCATCCAGCTCGGACGAGTACGGCGAGGCGAAGATGCTCTCCCGCGTGTTGAAGTTGACGTAGACGACATCATTACGAGCAAAGTTGGTTCCTTGCAGCTGGGGATCGCTGCTGGAGCCAGTGACCATGGCACCGCCGTACATGTAGACAAAGACCTGGTCAGATGTGTTAGTGGCGACATTATCACCGTGAGACGCCAGCTGTCGCGTGGCGCGAAGAAGACTTACAGGCAGGTTCTCGCCCGTGGCGGGCGCCCAGATGTTGAGGTTCAGGCAGTCCTCACCCTGCTGAGAGAACAAGTTGCCCCTGATGGCCTGGGGGCAGGTCGAGCCGTACGATGTTGCGTCGAATGCCGCATTCGAGGCGGGCACATCCTGAGGGGCACGCCCATCTGATCGATAAATGTCAGTGAGATGCGCTCGGACACGTGGGTCACGGGTGGCGGCAGCTGAATTCAGATCGCCATGACCCTAAGGATTATCAGGGGAACATACCGGTTCTTCCCGCCAGTCGTAGCGGCGAAGGGAACGCCCAAGAAGACCGAATTGCCGTGAGTGTCGCGGAAGCCTCGAATGGTTCCCTGCGGGATGACAGCGCTCGGGACGCTCGTAGCCGCAGCGGCCGCTGTGGAGGGGAAGAAGCACGACACAGCCGCTAGGCTAGCGGCTTTGGTGAAGACGTTGACGAGACCCATTGTGCACGGCTTCTGGCGGATTACTGAGGAGGTGCGAAAAAGGGTGAAGATCGACTGGACAAGACTGCTGGGCACACGTCCTTCATTTCTCTTTCGCAGAGGAGAGGCGGGCGACGGGGAACATTAATGGATTTCCCTCCATGGCACACTACCGCCAGATCGGGCACGATGGTCATTAGCAGAACTGGCAGCGGCATTGCCGGTGGCAGGGCAGACGGTGATGGCACTATCGGTACTATCGGATCCCCCTACAGGGCGGCTTGACGGTGACGGCTCTCGGGGTGGAGCAAGACCAGGATCCCGGATCAGTGGCGACGAGCGAAATTCTCCACCGGCAGTACGCATTTGATCTTTCTCCCGTCTCTATAACCCGAGCTTGATCAAGGGTCCGACGCAGCAGCCAGGTGTTGCCTGATCATGAACCCTTTCAGGAGATCACTGACAGGGGCTTGACAAAGATTTATTGGGTTCTAGATGCAGTAGAAGGATGGGGAATTCATGGAAGGAGGGGCACGGCCATGTAACTGGGCGAGGTAGGGAGTGACTGACGGCTCCTCGTTTCGGAGACATCTCGGCGAGGTCAGTCCGTGATGCGAAGAAATTGATACTCGCGCTGTGCTGGATACGATGAAATGTCTCTGAAGATATCTTCTGGGCGGATTAGCTCCCAAGTTCACAAAGAAATATTCCTGTCTAGAGAATATTTTCCAGCCGGAGGACAGATTAGGTGTGCCTTGTAGTGATGACGACCCGGCGAAATGCTAGGGCTCAAAGCAGTATCGATTTGCAGACCTAGAGGACGAACCAGCTGAAAACGCAGAACGCAGGCTTCGGCACTGCCCCGACGACAGAGTCGCAGCGTCCCAAGTCCCCGAAACTGGGCCTCACAGCGCCAAGTTCATGGCTAGTTTCATTTCCGAAGAAAGTCCAGTCCACTGCAGCACATCTCCACCAGTAGTGGGCTCAAGAGGCTTGCATTGGACAGGGGCGATGTGTGCTCGTGTCGTGCGAGCAATAGGAAGCGAGCGACCCCTGTGCAGACAATGTGAGACATGATTCCGGCATCCTGTGGCCTGCAATCCCAGCCGACCACGTGTGATGTCTTCCAGATAGAGGGTCACAGCAGCAGCCCTTGCATCAATTTCTCCGGTCGGTAGAACAGGATGGCTATCATGGAGAACTCGTGGGAAGCCTGGAAGTGGCAACGGCGGCGACTCGCGTGCAGAACGGATGGGACCCAAGCGTTACAGTGGCATTTCTTAGATATGCAAATCGGTGTTGCAACGCCAAACCCCGCAGCCGTTGCGCCCTCCGCCGAGATGATAGTAAAAGCCGATATCGAGAACAGACAGCGGGTGAAGCGGGAAAGGCTTTCCAAGCGTGTGACTGGTGAGGCGAGGCTCGACGCATGACTCGCAACTTGGTGGCCGAATGGTCACGGAATCGTTCCCCTAGCAAGCTTCTTCCCTGCCTCGGATGTCCTCGAGACGCCTCGACTTGCGCTAGAGGACGGACGAAAAGGTACGCTATCGCCTCTTGATCGTGCCATGGACGAGCCGCCTCAGGGGCTAGCGCTCGACGAAAAAACGGCCTTGTGGATGTCGATCAAGCCATTGAGGGGCGAAGTGAGGAATAAGACGGATCCCTATCCCACCATCTTCTCTCCGTGCGCGCAGGTCCGCCGGTCCACCTTGTACAGATAGAATCGTCAGTCTGTTGAATCGTGAATCGCAATGGCCAAAGATCACGGACAAGTGGTATGTACAATCTTCCTTGCTGCAATTTAATGCAGGTACTTCAGAGACGCCCGAAGATCTCTGCCTTTCCTGTATCTAGCTGACGATCTTTACTCTGAAAAGGTGTCATGGTACATTTGTACCGCGGTGGCCTTCGTTTTCGTCGTTGCGAGGCTATGGGTTCGCATCAGCAAGTTCAGGAGTCTGGGCATCGACGATGGCTTCATCATCCTGGCTCTGTGTTGCCTCATTGGTGACCTGGTCATCCAGCAGCACATGTTCAATCTGGGCATGTCTGATATGGCCAATGTTGACCATGAACAAATGAAGAAGATCATGCAAATGATTGTGCCTGGATCCGTACTTTATGTCACCACCTTATGGGCTATCAAGATCGCGCTGGTCATCTTCTACAAGCGCATCGCGGCGGTCGGCTCAACACTCCAGAAGATCTACAACGGTGCCTTGTGCGTGCTTGTCGCTTCGTGGGCAACCATCTTCTTTCATATCCTCTTCCAGTGCTTCCCTCACGACAAGCGCTGGTCGCAGGATCCGGACTGTAAGTCTTCAAGGTGCGGCAACATTAATATGGCATGTATTGACTGTATCATAGACCAATGTGACCCACGAAATGCAGAGATCAACTACTGGTTGACAATCATCCGTAAGTCTTTCCAACATTGCCCCCTTTTCGGAGAACGAAGCTGACACCATGCAGTCAACATTGGCACTGATGTCATCCGTGAGTGGCCCTCGATCGAATCCGACATGAAGAATGCTTCGAGAACTAACGCCTTGTAGTCATCAGCTTGCCCATCTCCATGGTCATGAAGCTTCAAATGAAGTTGAAGCAGAAGCTGGGTGTAGCTGCCATCTTCGCCCTTGGCTTTCTCGTCGTCATTGCAAGCAGTACGTCTTCAAGTGGTTCTGACCTGTATTGCCATATTGCTAACCATCCGCAGTTATTCGCGCGTACTACTCGAAGCGGAACGAGACCATGCTCACCTGTACCGTGTCCATGATCGAGGCTTCAGTAGCCATCATCGCCACCTGTCTCCCTCGTATGTCAGCCCATTGCTTTAGCCCAGCCCTGATGAACCGATAGCCGCTAACATATCGCTCACAGCCCTACGGACCCTTTTCCTCGGCCACTTCTCCTCTGCAGGCACCAACTCAGGCTACCGACACTACGAGCTTTCGTCCGCTGGCCACGCACGGAGTCGACGCACGCAGCAGAGCCGCATCACCACCAACATTGTTGGAGGTACACACAAGAGCAACGACTCGGAGGATGAGCTTGTCAAGGACCCAGCGCGCACAGCGCCTCCCAGCGGGGCCGTTCTGGCAGAAGAGAAGGGTGGAGGCATCGTCGTGAGCACGACGTTCCAGATGGATCATGGAACAGATGTGGAGTCAAACAGGTCGACACCGCTGTTTCATGCTCAGTAGGCACGGCAGGGATCACGGGTTACGGAAGTCAAATAGCCATTATAATCACATCGGCCTTGTGTCAGCATGGGTTCAAATTATTTTACCCTTCATCATTTCTTGAAAAGAGGTGCTTCCGATTCCTCAGAACGGAGGCTTGCACATATCGGGACCTACTTGGTTCTAGCTATCCTCTTGCTACTACATGATAGGAATGGTTTAGTTTACCAGCATCGTACCAGCATCGTCAGGCCACACAATAGACCTATCTCTTCCAAGAAGGAAGAATGTCGGTGACAAGAAGCAGGAGGCTTTTCGCTATTGCGATCACCACGTGCCTTGACCCAGTCCTACGCCGCGCCCCACGTTGTCCGTCGCATGGCATGACGGAATTCTCCCTGCGTTCGAGATGACAAGTTAGTGACGATCCCTGCATATAGGTCAATCCTGTACCCCGGACAATTATATGCAGCCCACACCGATGACTACTTGGAGTTGATGCATCGGCACCGAGGCAGTGATACCTTTCAGGTGGTAAAAGGTCCGAATACTACAATTCATACCACTGGCCTTGGCCACACGGGAGTTATGCTGCCACTTCTGGATTCCCGCTGAAGAAAGTCAATGCGTAGTCGCATTTGGATCAGCGCACAGGAACACGAAATAGGTGTAGAAGATCCATTTCTTGGCTTAACGTTGTACCCTGCATCGGAAGCGGACATTGACGCGCGAAAGACTGTCAAGCGCAATATCCGAGTCTTTTATTCATTTCAACTGCGGTACAGGACCTCCTTGATAGTGTTGGCGTCGACGTTTGCACCACACAAGAGGATAATGCTTGTCTGGGCCCCTAGTTGGTGCGCAACTTTGTCGAAGCCCGCCAGAGCCAAACCGGCAGACCCTTCAACTATCATAGTCTCATCAAACGCAATGCTCCTCATGGCCGCAGCGATTTCCACCTCATTACATTCAATGACCTGATCCACCACTGCCGACGCCAACGGCAGGGTGATGCTGTCCTCGTCTATCCCGCCAGCAACACCCTCTGCCAGCGTCGGTAGATGATCCGTCTCGATGATTTCACCAGCAACGATGGAATCAGCTAGAGTTTTCGAGTTTGTAGCAGAAACGCCGAAAATCTTGGTCCGCGGGCTGAAGGCTTTGAGAACGGACCCAATACCACTGATGAGCCCACCGCCTCCCATAGAGACAAAAACATTGTCAACGTGGTCGCACTGCTCCAGAATCTCGAGGCCGATTGTGGCCTGGCCTGCTACAATGTCGGCGTCATTGTAGGGCGAAACGTACGTGTACTCGCCGGACGTGGCAAGCTTCTGTGCATGCTGCTCCGCCTTTCCTGCTTCCGAACCGTAGAGGATGACCTTGACGCCGAACACCTCAATCTTCTTTCGTTTTGAAGGAATGACTGTCTCTGGAAGGACGACGGTGAGAGACTTGTGCAGGATACTCGCAGCCTTTGCGGAGCCAATACCGTGGTTGCCCGATGATGCGGTGATCAAGGGACTGTTGCCGGTCTGATTCGACATCTTGGACATGGCCCCTCGGAGTTTGAACGACCCAGTGAGCTGGAAATTCTCAGCCTTGAAGAAGACTTTGGCGCCATGATTGATGCCTGTTTTCTTTGCTGGAATGAGAGGCGTCTGGTAGATGTGTTGGCGGATGCGCTGCCTCGCTTGGACAGCACTGGCAGCGATTTCGAGCGGCGTGGCTGACATGGCGAGGGGGTTGATGGTGTTCGTTGGACGTACGACAGTGGAGGTTGCCAGCCATTGAAGGACCCTTAAATCTATCACCGTCATCAAAGACCCTACGCCCTGACGGTCTACGGGCAGCCTATTGAGTTTAGCCGCGATCCACTACGTCGCGGAAGTCCATCGCTTGATTGGTCTGAACGCTTGGCTTGCCCGAATAGGCAAGTTTTATGGTGGTGACTAGGAGTCAGCACGGATCGCGTACATGGCATTTAGAATACCCAGGTCATGGAAGGATGACTGTTTTGCAAGAATGTTGACTGATTGGGCAAGCCGCTTGTCTTTCCGAATCAAGAAAATGGGCAAGTCTCTCAGCGACAAGTCAAGAGTGGTTCGATATATCGACGAAGAGAGGGGTACGAAGCGTATTTAAAACAAGAAAGGGGCGTTCCCCCAAGGTGACGAATTCGGGACCAGCCTAGTTTTCTTCAAGTTCGACTGAGCTGCCAAGCAGCTCCAAGATGACGGTTATAGATCAGGGTCAAGCAAGGCCCATAGACCTCGCGCGAGGATGGCCCTCTCTCGATATGCTTCCCTCGCACCTGCTGTCCGAAGCCGCTGTTAAGACGTTGAAAGATCCTTCCAAATATTTACCGGCCCTACAATACGGAGATGACGCCGGCTACGGGCCTCTCCGAAAGGACATCGCAAGCTGGATCTCGAATGTGGACGGGAGAGCTCACCTGCCAGAGCACATTTGCGTCACAGCAGGCGCCAGTCTGGGCATGGCCAGCATCCTGCAGAGTTTCACTGACCCAAGCATCACCCGGGCAGTCTGGATAGTGGCCCCTGCATATCACCTCTCTTTTGGAATATTCATGGACGCCGGCTTCGAGAATCGGCTTATGTCGGTGCCAGAGGAGACGGACGGAATCGACCTTGAATGGCTAGGGATCCAGCTGGCAAAGTATGGCGAAGATCACAGCCAGCCAAGAATCGTACGCCCTGAGACTTTCTCCCGTGTTAGGCAGCCCCTGTCATTGCTGACATACCCAAGAACACTAGGAAGCCCGGTTCAGGTCGTAAGTTCTACCGACATGTCATCTACACCGTTCCGACATGCGCAAACCCCTCTGGGAGGACAATGTCCCTCTCCAACCGCAGCAGACTCGTCGCCCTCGCACGAAAACACGACGCCCTGATTATTTGCGACGACGTTTACGACCTGCTCCAGTGGCCCCTCCTTCAAGACTCTCTGATTCCCCAGCCCCTCCCCGCGTGCCCCGAAAACGAAAACTACAAAGTCTACCCTCCGGTACAGCTACCAGAAAACAAAGCCCTCCCTCGCCTCTCCGATCTCGACCTCGACCTCGGCCCCTCGGCCCACGACGTTCAGAGCGGAACCCACTTCGGCCACGCCATCTCCAACAACTCCTTCTCCAAGATTCTCGGCCCCGGCGTCCGCACAGGCTGGGTCCAGGGCGCCCCGGCCTTCGTTCACGGCCTCTCGCAGACGGGCTCGACCATCTCCGGCGGCGCGCCGAGCCAGTTCGCGTCGGCCATTGTGCATGAGCTCCTGCAGAGCGGGCGGCTCGACGAGCACATTGTGCGCTGCGTCCGGCCCGGGCTCCAGAGGCGCCACGCCATTCTGGCGCGGGCCGTCGGTACCCATCTCGCCCCGCTCGGCGTGTCGTGGGTGCGGCGCGACGATGATGGTGTCTTTGGCGGGTATTTCCTCTGGCTGACGCTGCCGGTGGGGAGTCCGCCGGCGACGGAGTTTGCGGCGCGGGCGGAGGCGGAGGAGGGGGTCTTGGTTGTGCCGGGGAGTCTGTTTGGTGTACCGGGGTGTGGTGCTGGAGACATGTACCAGAGGAACGTGCGATTGTGCTTCGCGTGGGACGATGATGGTATCTTTGAGGAAGCCGTTCGCGGCTTGGCGAATATTTTGCGCAATTCCGTTAGAAACGGTGTATAAGTGGCGGGTTGTTTTAGCCAAGTGTGGCTCGAAGCTATGTCAATTAATGCACGCGTAGTAGACCAACATGCACAATGCAGCCTGAGTTTTAGTTCGGAATAGTAACGATTAAGTTTGCTAAGAGAGGTGACCACCAAGTCGTGTGTGCCCTGTGAAGGGCCTTATGCTTCCCATGGTATCCTATGCTGTATGACCAAAAACACCATGCCATGCAAAGCCCAAACCGGGCTCATTATTTTGGTTTCAAATGCATCATCCGTCTAAAACACACCGCCTTCTATATGTGGGGTATCGCCGACCACCTTATATGGTTCTTGTTTTTTCTTCATTTCTCCTTGGTGCCGACAGGCTCCTCAGAAGCGTCGCCGGCCTCAGTGCGCTCATCGTCAGACAGAACACCACCTTGACTGGCGCGGCTGGCGCGACGCAGCTTCTCCTCCTCACGCTCAGCTTCGATGTCGTCTTCCATAATCTGGTCAGACTCGCGCACGACGGGAGGCTTGGCAGCACCGGCGCGCATCTGCTCAAGCACAGCAGCGGCCTCGGCGGCATACTTGCACTTGAGGCGAATGGCCTTGCCGTAGCGCCAGAAGAGGTAGGGGAACGGAACGCAGGCCAGAGCGAGGAAGGCGGGAATGGTGGAGGCCCAGTGGATGCCAAGGTCGTCGTACATGTTGCTGGTGAAGAGAGGGAAGGCGGCGCCAAAGAGCGATCGGAGAACACTGTTGGCGGCTAGGGCCGAGGCGGCGAAGACGACGTACGAGTCGATGAGGTAGTTCATGAGACTGAGGAAGACGAGGACGAGACCAGCGCCGAAGAAGCCAGAGGCGATGATGGAGACGACCCAATGAATCTCGGGGCCGTTGGTCCAAGCGAACCAGAAGAGGCCGACGGGAAGGAGAACAGAGCCGATGATGGCGGGAGGGAGACGTGCCTCGGGCTGAGCAGCACCACCGGCGGCCTTGACGGCAGCAGCGTAACGCTTGTTGTCGTAAATGCAGTAGCTGACGGCGAAGATCATGCCAACAGCAACGCCAATGAAGGCAAGGCCACCGATACCGGGGGTCCAACCGCGGTGAACCTGGTACACAATCGGGAAGGCGGCGAAGAGCATGTAGAGAGTGCCGTAGATGATGGCCATGTAGATCGACGTCAGAGTGACAATGGGCTCGCAGAAGAGCAGGACCCAAGGGCGCATGAGTGCAGTCAACTGGGGGACCTTGCGGAGGTCATGCTTTGAGAGGTAGTGCTTGCCGGTCTGGCGGGAGAGCTCGACAGCACGCTGGCGAAGCAGGTAGGGGGCGTACGTCTCAGGGCAGACGAAGAGTGAGATGATGAGGATGACACCAGTGAAAGATAGCCCATCATACCCCTCACCCAGCGCCAGGCAGAGGCATGACGAGGAAGGCCACCGGGCAATAGGGCCAATAACGGGGCCAAGGAAAGGGAGCTGACGCGAACAGAGCAGAAGCCATGCCGCGCTCGGACGCAGAGAACATGTCGGCAATGACGCCACCAGCGTTCGTCAGGGGTGACGAGCCGAAAGCACCTCCGAAGAATCGCAGGATGATCAACGTCTGGATGTTTTGAGAGCCAGCAGCGCCGGCATTGAAAGCCGTAAGAGCAAAGAAGGTGACGATGAAGAGGCGCTGGCGACCAAAGATCTCCGACATGGGAGCCCACAGGAGGGGACCGATGGCGAAGCCAAGGACGAAGAGAGAGACACCAAGGATGGCGACAATCTGGGACACGCCAAAGTCCTCGATGACGGCGCGGACACCGCCCGAGTATGCTGAACTGGCGAAAGCAACGGCCAATGTCGCAACGGCGTTGACCACGGTGATGGACCACTTCTTGGTCTGGCTGAAGGTCATGGGGTTGCGAACATCTTCGGGGAGGAAGTCAACGAGATAGGGAGACTCAGCAGTGCCCTCGCCGGGGTACGTGTGGTTGAGGACTTCGGGGGTCACGCCGGCCTGGTCGTACAGGAGCTTGAAGTGACCCTCCTTGGTCCTCGTAGGCTGGGCCTCGATATCGAGGTCAGGGTGTGTCGCTGTGACAGACGATGCTGATGAGTTTGGTGTCGTCGCCATGGTGTGATGTAAGGTGGCGTGCATGCGCCTCGGGACGATTGGTTGTGTTGTCTGGATGGGTCAGGCGAGGGACAACAACAGATCGGGGACCTGATCTGATCTAATCTGATTCGGAAGTCTCGTGGCGTTGATTGATGATGGAATGGAGATCTAGAATTCGAGACAATGGCCCATGGACCTGGGAACCGCAGATCTATATAACGCAGCTCAGTGGATGCAGATTTCTAATACGGACTCGTGCTCGTCCCCGTTCGATTCCATCCCCTATCACCAACCCAACGAACGGGGGGCCTGTCCCACTCGGCCGAGCCGTGAACAGGGTAATAAGAGGGGCCTTTGTCGGGGCGTTACGCTTGTTATGTCCGCGACCCGCCTCGCAGCACGCCATTTCGTTGGCTGAGACGGGCAAAACCCATCGGAGGGTCGGCGGCGGGTTTCTAGCCGACTGCTTGGTCGGCACCTCGGCAGGGCTGATGGGGAACGTCGAAGAAGCTAGAGCCCTTGCAGAATGGTATAGGCACTATGACTCGCTGGGTTGTCCGGCGTGTTTTGGCCAGCGAGGTGTGATGTGATCTGCGAAAGCTTGGGAATACGTTATTCTCGGTAAGGCCTGGGACGGCCCAGGGTCTGGGACCGGATTTGGCGCCAGATCCCGGCCGAGGCAACGTGCTTATGGGGCCCCTAGTGCTGAGCAAAGCGCTCCCTGTCGCCCAAATGCTGTGAGGGCTGCGGAGCCGGATTGTCGGCGAGTTTTTCGTAGCAGCAATTCCGTCCCGGCATTGGGCTTGCGAACTCCGGCCCATATTGACCCTGAGTTGTCTGTGAGTGTTCGCCGGGGGAGAAAACAGCCGAATGGTGAACACAAGGTAATGCAAGACATGACGCGTTCATGAGTGATGTCGCCAGTCAAGGCCTCCAGTTGTTCCGCTTCGTATTGGAGCATCTTCGAGCGATCGTCGGCCGCGCGAGCTCATCAGTTTCGGTGGACAGCGGTGCCACATGGACAAACCCGTGCCGAAGCAGTTGAGACGATCATATCAACGTGCCGACCACGAGCAGGTCGTCAGACAGCCAGGCATCTTGAGCATTGGTCTCGAAGCTGCCAAGCCGGCCCCTAGTCGTTGCCCAGCAGTACAGAATCAAACGATAACCATACCTCGGTCCAGTGGGAGTGGATCCCATCGAACCCTAGCAAAGAAAACAAGTATGTACACCTTTGGCTGGGTCAAAGGTGGGGGCTTGCTGACGGTGACCGTTTGCCAGCACAGCAATGGCACGTAAATTGATAAGAAGCTGAGGTGTCGCCCCTCTGATGAAGAAGAAAATTTGTGCGAGCCTCGCGCCAGAAGCCTGACAACAGGGCGGATAATTGGGGCCGGAGAAGCTCGTGCCCCAACTTGTGGATCCTCCCTGTCCTCAGGACCTTCCCAGGACGAGGTCGCCCCTTCTTTGCCAAGCCGGCATTTCCCTGTGCCTCGGTATGACGTCGTCGAATTTTTGTTTCTGATTCGAGATAACATATTGCCTTCACCATGTCCAATTGTAGCACTAGACTTTTCAAGCGGACTTGATAATCGTTCGGGACATTCTAGAACGTCGTTATGTTCCACAAAATTAGATCACCACATGCTACATTACTACATGACGTACCGCACACTAATCAAAAGACAACAACGAATCTCCGAAGAGAGTGGAGCTTCTGCTGTGAAGCCTCACGGCAATCAAAGCACGACAGGGTTTATCTGGCCCAATCTTTGGCCCACGCCACTCCCTGTGCTCAGCGCTATCAATTCTGGCTGTACTCGGGATAAGGGATGCCGCCGATGACTGATGAGTACAGTACACCAATTGCCGGCACACCCCGTTGGCTGGACGCTGGTCGAGCCATGAACGACTCCCTAGGGCTGAATGTTGTTGATGGTGCGTGTTGATCTGTCTTCTGACGTGTGAGGCAGGTGAGCGGGATAATTGGTGATTGAGGACGGATGGTGGTGCACATGGTCTACTATCTATCCCCGAGCTTTCGCTGCCTTGCATCGCGCTGTCCGAGGCGAGTCGGCCGATCAAGACGGCGATGCGCTTGCTGTAGGAGGCTTGTTACAGAAAGAAGAATCACAAAATCCGCCGATTGGATGATTGCTGGCCACATTAGCTTTATAACCCTCCAAGGAAAGGAAAAAAAAGATTCGCGTATGTCTAACCAACATTGCCTCTGCCAAAGCATTATTTGCGAACAAAGAACTACAGCAACGCAAAAAAAGAACTTGACTACGTTAAATGTAGACTCAGCATTGTGGTTGTGATGCCTCGTACTGGAATCGAACCAGTGATCTCATCATTACTAGTGATGCGCTTTACCACTAAGCCAACGAGGCATTTTACATGACGATCAGGCTACACGGCAGGAATCATGACCCCGATAGAACTCTCGCAGTTCTGACACGAAAGTGTTACGTTACTCGGAGCAAGAGGAACATGTTTTTGTCAAGTATTATTGCTGGTTCTTTGAGACTTTTCACGGATGACTCTTTGTTGACTTGGCTACTACTAAGACGTCGCAAATGCGCCTGCATAGCTCAATTGCGGCCCCGAGAAAAGCTAGCAGGTGCCATGGGATTGACTTCAAGACAGTCGCAGGCACGATCTTTGATCTGCGCCTTATCAAATACGTGTGTGAATTACGACTCGACCAAAAAAACGGAAGTTCCAAGCATCGTGGGTTGGATGCCCTCCGACTACGAAAAACCCACGTATGTTGATGAAAGACCTGTTCAAGCTAGATTGCGCTACCTTCAACATGAACATGTGACTGTCACAAGCATCCACTGCATAGTCCAACAATGTACGCGATGTATTGTCAGAAACTTAGAGCATCAAGTGAAATCTAAACTTCACCACCCTTAGCTATACCATTGGCGAGGACCTCGAAAGTGTGTAGCGAACCATACCCAGGTTTCGAGACTTGCTCAAACTCTCAGCTGAGAAGTCCCCTCAACCAATGCGCGACCTCCAAACTCAAACTCTTGTGGAAGCGCCCAGAGTATGGGCCACTGTTGCGATGTCCGGCTTCATAAGACTCTTTTTAACTGGGTTAGGCGCGTCGAATACCTCATCAAGCTCTTCCAGTGTGCGTCGTTTGGTTTCAGGAAAGAAAAAGTAGATGACAACACCTTCAAAGATATCCCAGAAAACGAAAAAGATATAGAAGTAGTAGCCAATATTCTCAAAAGCTGGAGCCGATGCATACTGAATAATGACACTGGCTGCAGCAGATGTGACATTGCTTACTGCGGTGCCCTTGGCCCGAGTTGTAGTTGTCAGGGTTTCGACAATGTACATTGTTTGGAGAGGGGTCCATCCGAATGAGAAAACAATTCCGAACAGAAAGACGAAGACAATAGTCGCATTGGCTGCTGACGGGTCGCCGTTCTCGCCGGTGGCTACCTTTGAAGTGCCTGTCATGACAGCAAAGCATACCGAACAGAAAAAGATGGAGACGAGAAGCAATGGGCGTCGACCAATCTTGTCGCTGTAACGAGCGCCCAGCAGAGATGCAATGAAGCACAGTACCGGATTGATGCCGTTGAGCATCAGTTGCGTGCTCTCTGAGGTGATGCCGGCATTCTCGACCATCACAGGAAGGTAGTAACCAGTGATGGAGTTGCCGCTGAGCTGGCCAAACGCTGCCATACCAAGAACACATATGAGCCTCCGCCGTGCTGATCGCGTGTTGCCGAGCTCCCGGTAATCCCACCATCTTTTGTCGGAAGCATCTTGCTTGATACTGTGCTTCATTTCCTCCATCTGTAGCTGGACCATGGGATGATCTTCCTGCCCTTCTCCGTGGTACTTGGCGAGCACAGCCCTGGCTTGTTCGGTCTTGCCATTGGCAATGAGCCATCTTGGAGACTCTGGTATAAAGAAAACGCCAACGCCAACGATGATGGATGAGAAGAGCTGACCCCAGATGGGGATTCGAAACGCATACGGATTGTTCCACTTCGAGCAGCCAAAGATCGTCCAGCTAGCCACTATGGCGCCGAGCCACCTTGATATTGTCAGCTTGATTCATAGTGTTCAAGTCGGGGTTTTACTCACCACATGCAGTTGTATAGTCCCGTGTGAATGCCGCGCCATTTGGGGTGCGACATCTCGCTGACATAACATGGCGCACTGACTGAACAGAAGCTGACGCCAAAGCCCAGCATGAATCGACCGCCTATAAACATTTTCAGGTTATGGGAAGGGGCTTGAATGCATGTACCCGTGATGATAAGCAGAGCTCCGACGAACATTCCCCATCGTCGTCCAAAGAAGTCGTTCGTTGGGCCGGTAAACGGAATGGCACAAATTGAACCAATACTGTAAACAGCAAAGATGAACCCCGTTTGCGATCCTACAGGCGAACTGAGGGAAAGCCTGTTAGCAGTGGACATGAATATAGCGCCTGGTGTGTGCTGGCTTACGTATCGAAATAGGTTTGGTAACTTTTCATAGCATTGAGACCTCCCATCAAGGACCCATCGTAACCGTTGAGACACCCACAGAAGTAAGTAATGAGAAGACAGCCGTAGAGCCTGAACATAGACTTCGTCCATGGGTTGCAGACAACCTCAGCGGCACGCTCAGCGATGTTGTGGATGGCTTCATCATCGACAAATTCGACGCGAGTCACATCCTCCAACGACCTAGTTCTGTCTGCCTTGAGGTCATCAGACCTGAAGTCGCCCTGGGAAGGGGTTATCATTGTGTAATAGCGAAAGGATGGCCACACAAGAAGAATATCGATCCGGATACGAGAAAAGTGCTGCTGGCGTCATTGAACATGCAGTGAAAGCTAGGACCCGGCCTCTTATAACTTGACGACCTGTATTCCAATCGCGTTGCACATGTGCCCGGCTCATCGCGGTCCGGAACCGTTGTCATGACTCGGCCCTACGGTGTCCAAACCATCTCTTCAGTTGGCAACAGGATTTGCGGGGGAGCCTGGGTCATGCGGGGAGTGATCGTTCGACCACTCCTGATGCGGCACTTCATTCCATGCCTGCACCAACATGCTATTATCTTGCAGTCAGTGTGTACGTCTACGATCATTGCCCTGTGAGCTCATAGTGCAGAACGAGAACGCGAAAGCTCAAGGGTCCGGGGGCCAAGCAGGTATCTTTAGGACCCCCACGCGGAAAATCCATGTCACTACATTTACCGCGGACTTTTGATTCCGGATTAGGCAAATATTTGTCCACCTTGAAGAAGCTAAGCACGCCATGCGGGGGACCCAAGTTATCGGCCTGAATTCACCCGTCCGATTTGAGCAGCGCCGTCTACTTGTTTATGTCACCGCTTTGAGAAGGAAATGGGCAATGGGGTTACGATTTGCAATCACATCAAGACCAAGAATACAAAGGCAAAAGGGCGTCAACCTCAGATTCGTCACAGGCTTAAGTAACCAGTATCAAAGCAGCACTATGCGCAGGTTTGATCGAGACCAGAAACTGCACGGACGGTTCAAATTGGACGGCTATTTATTACTATATCAAATCACAAGGGACTCGTAAATACGACTGTAAGGTCGCAATGGTTGGAAAACAATGTGGAATTTAGAGATCACTCGCAAAGTCCTGCAATACAGGGAGAATACGCAACACGTTCTCTACAAACCATCTCCATTCTTGAGAATGTTGGACCATCTCTGTTGAAATCAGTAAGGGCGCTGGGATAAGAAGAATGTGAATCTGACCCACAGTATCCCACGGTCTGCTCGAATCAACATAACGAAGATCTGTTCCGAGACGAATTACGTTGTCCTTATCGTGATTGATTGTGGAGGCGTGTATCTAGAGGTGGTTCCGAGGTCAGCAATCTTGCCCTGATCGGAGGCAGAGGGAAAGAGTGCAAACTGACAGCATATGTATTGTGAAGCACGACATCACCAGCCTCGTACTCTGAAAGGAGCCATCGTCGGCCGTACTCCTTGCCAAAGCCGGCTGGCCCTTCTGCCAACAGGCCACCACCCATCATGTTCTGGTTGTAGGCGTTCTTCGTCTGCTCATCATCGAGTCCTGCAGCCTTAGCGCGATCCGTAAAGTCCTTTTCAAACTGCTCTCCAATGTCGTGGCCCTTTTCGAGGTAGATCAAGCCTCCGCCGTCGATCTTAATGTCGCCAATCGGGACCCAGGCTGTGATAATTGTGTCTTCGCCGTGGCGGAGGAATATCTGGTCATAGTGAACCCCGATAGCTTTGTTCTGGGGCATGTTGTTGCGGAGGATGGTCCTTCGGATGCTGAGTGTACTGTCACCCCAGCCCGTCATCTCTGCCACAAATTTCAGGAGGGCTGGGTGCTGGCACAGGTCTTCTTTGTACCAATCTTCATGATGTGCTTGCATTGCGAGATCGCCAAATTGATTCGCAACCTTGGGATCTGGGCCTGTAACCCTGCCCTTGTCGTCGGTGGAATTCGGCGTTCCGGCTCCTATCCCAGGGTAGTTCAGACGGTCCTGAGATGTGTTGAAAATCCCATCGACGGGCTTTGTCTCGGGAGCGAGTACACCTGTCGGCTTGAGTAGCTCGAAGTACTTCTCTCGGACCTTGAGAACATCTTCTCTCGGGAGGACACCTTTCAATAAAACATGTCCATCTTCCTTGTATCGTCGACGAACCTCTTCCATTGGTGTGTCGAGGGTCGTTTGCTTGATCAAGCCGATGTCGGTAAGGGGTCCATCATTGACGAAGAACTGCTTCTCGTGAAATGCTGCTTCGCGGGGGTCGACTACCGAAGGCATGGTGATGGTGGTAGGGATGATGTGTTGGATGTTACAATAAAACTGCTGGCTTTTTGACGCTTTTCTTGAAATCTGGGTTTGACAGCTTTGATATACGTGCCCATCGCGAAATGGCCCTCAGGATATGTTATATCATTTCATTTCTTTTGAGTCTATCATCCCATCTTCTTTTCGTTACCCCATGGTATCAAGGTGAGGGGAAGATGGAGTGCATGTGGATGCATGGGTGAGGTGGAGAACCAAGTTGATCGTGGCCCGCCGATCATCCAGGTTTCTCCAAAAGGTAAGAAACGCCCGCTGCAGGTCCACCTCCAAGTCTTCAGAGCTCGGATCAGGCGCTCAGTGGTTGAGCTGTTGTTGTTCCAACAGGGGCGGCGGAGCATGTACGGGGGGTGGCCGGCATCATCTCTACGGAGACCTATCCCAGATTTCCGACAACTTGGTCCGGACATCTGTCGTCGGCCATCCATGATCTGACTCAAGGCTTTCCAGCAGATGCAACACTGCCCGACGATCCCTCCAGTCTGTGAACAAGTCTCCGCCCACCCGCACAGCCATGCATGTGATCATTGTCGCAGGCGGGACAGATTTGTTTGATTTTGCAATGCTGCAGATGAGTTTGAGCGCCACTCGGGCGTCGGACTAGATACTGTCAGCAACATTCCGGTGGTTTGGGGCCATTTCTGCATACGGTCATTTCCCTCAACGCGGCCTATCGTCCCAGACTCACTCGCGTGGCCCTCGGGTCGTGCGTGATGAGTAAAAACCTTGCCAGCGTAACGTACTGCCATCCCATCACTTCTCGCAGGTTAGTAAAGGTCTCTTGACGACATGTAGTGTTCCCATACCATGCCATGGTCTGTGGAAGCGCACATCCCAGAGCGGATCGTCGTCGTGCGTAGACTGGCTACGTGGGCGCGTGCAGAGAGGGTCATACGTGGGTGGTCGATGAGTGTCCCATCTGACGTTGGCAGCACGAAGAAGATTGAATTCATCAGGGGTCCCGGGATTTGGAGAAAAGCAAAAGTCCAAAACCTCAAGGCAGTGGCTTACTGCGCGATTAGCCCAAGCGCAATCGTCCTCGTCGAAATCAAGGCGGCCAAGTAGCTCCATCGACGCTTTCATCTCTGGCGGCTGGCATCTGCTCAGAGACACCCATATCTCTTGACGCAGGCCGACCCAAGAGGTGGCCCGATGCAGACTGGTGGCACAAGGGTTCATAGACGTCTGGCTAGATAACAAAGCCCTCGTACCAGCTGCATGGTGGAATGTGTCCGATCCTGCAAGGGGGACATCAAACTCTTCGAGGAGGCGAAGGATCACGGTGGCTGCCAAAAGGCCGTCATCACACGTCGGCCCAACTCGGTCCATTTTCGGGATGAGGGACTCGATGCACCTCAAGTAGTATTGGTCAGCGAGAAGAGGATCAGAATCTCTCTTGATACGGCTCATGTGGCGTGCCGAGAGGGCGAGTATAGCATCGAAAAGCGGGGGGCAGAAACGTGCCCTTTGTGGTACTACGACCGCGAAATGATGTTGCAGATCGCAGAAGTCAAACTGAAACCAGGTTAGGACAGTGCTATCAATAAGCCAGTCAAACATACAAACGGCGCTAGCTCTTGGATAAAATGCTCCAGGAGCAGGACTTCAGACTCGTCCGTGAAGGTCCAGTGACGGTCGAGAGCCATTACAGGACATGGTTCCACCCCTGGGACATGACAAGCTCGCGCTGGAGTTGGCTGATTCGGGGGCTTCGGAGCCGTTGAAGGTATCTCAGGATCCGGGCTAGGGACGGAATCTTCCCTGGATCTGCGTTGTCGAGTGAGAGCTGGCGTCTCGTCTACAAAGCTATTCGCAGTGGCACATGGCAGCTGACCTACCCTCTGTTAGCCATGCGGAGAACGGGCGTTGAAAGATGTCTGCGCACTTATTATCCTCAAAGGGAATGCGTCCTTGTCCTGCATACCCTGGTCTCTGGGAGTGACCTGCTTGAAGCGGATGCGTCTGGATGTCCGGCTGCATACCGATCCGTTTTCTCGGCACAACCTACAGTGAGGCTTTCCCAAGTCACCTGCGCAGAGATCAGCGGAAGAGCCAGCAATGGACCGGGGCCTGTACATTTACGGTGGCGTCGACGGCACTCATCACTACTTCATTCGTCAGCAGGGAGCGGTGGTTGCCCGATACTTGCATCGGAGAAAAATGCCGATGAATGCTATGAAGGTTTGACGCACCATGCTTTGCTTTTGGAAGTCATTGTCAGAAGCGATCGCAGGCAAGGGACCAAACTACGTAGGGGCCAGGTGGGAAAAAGCTTCCTTTTTAAGAAAAACTCCGCCGCTAAGGTAGATAGACCGAGCCATATGGGCTGCAACACGCTGGGGATAACGCCGGGGCCCATTATGGGGGTCAGTCAACCACCCCGCCCGCGAAGTGACATAAGTTTTAGGGGAATCGTGGAGGAATTGGTTTCCAGATGTGGGGCCCCAGGATTGAGGAGCAACCTGGCCATGGGCGTTTGCGGAGAAGTGCCAATCTTGCCTCCCATGGCCCGAACTCGGAATTTGAGGATTGTGGTCTTACTTTGGGTAGCTTGGGCTTCCCCAGGAAGAAAGGTTGACAATATTGGGAGGATAAATAGTCTCAAAGAATAGCAAGAGGCATGTCATGTTTGTTCTCTACAGCTTATCTCTTGAGGAGCCATCTACATCTACCAAACATGCTTCATTCATATTCATCATTATTTGGCACAGTCGCCGCCAGTTTCGTTGCAGTTGGTGTCTTCGCAGCCCCTGAGTGTACCTGGCCCCGGGGCCCTCTCACCACGGATGGCAACAGAATTGTTGATCATCGCGGAGACACTTTCATATATGCCGGTATCAATTGGCCTGGGGAGGGGGAAACCATGATCCCTGAGGGTCTCCAATACTCATCCATCGCCGATGTTGTAGCTAAGATCAAGTCTCTCAACATGAACTCTGTCCGTATGGGCTGGGCCACTGAGATGGTTGACGATATTCTGGACAACGGCGGTGATGTGTCGATCAAGGAAACCATGACTCGTATCCTTGGCGAAGAGCTCGCTGTTGACGTTGTCAGCGATATTCTGAAACACAATCCCTCCTTCACCGAAGAAACGACACGTCTCGAGGTGTGGGACGCCGTCGCCGCAGAGCTCCAGAAGGCGGAGCTGCACATGATTGTCAACAACCACGTCTCCAAGGCCGTCTGGTGCTGCAGCCCAGACGACGGCAACGGCTGGTTCGACGACACGTATTTCGACGTCGTCAAGTGGAAGCGCAGCCTGGACTTCATGACCAGGCACGCCAAACAGAACTGGCCCGCGGCAACGGCTCATTCCCTCCGTAACGAGCTCCGCATAGTCAACTCGGCCGCCAACGACACCTACGGCTGGTCGCGCTGGTACGACGAGATGACCGACGCCGCCGCCATCGTCAACGCCGCCGATCCAGACGCTCTTGTCATCTACTCAGGGCTCAACTATGACCACGAGCTCAATCCTATCACGACTAAGCTCCCACTAAGCGAGACGGACCCGCGCGTTTTCGACCTGGCCGACTTTGACTACGCCGACAAGATTGTGTTTGAGCTGCATACCTACGATAACTGGATGACCAACTGTACCTTCTTCCAGAGCGAGCTGTATAACCGTGGCTTCAACGCGCTGGATACGTCTGCCGAGAGTACAAGTCGCAACATTGCGCCCGTGTTCTTCTCGGAATTTGGCTTCGCACAAAACGGCACAGATTACCTTGGTGTGTATGCCCAGTGCCTGAAAGACTTCATCACCGGCGACAAGCGCATAGGTGCTGCTAGTCGTATCGAAGGACCTATCGGATGGCTGCAGTGGACAATTGGGGGTTCGTACTACATGAGGCAGGGAATTCCCGATTTCGACGACTGGTGGGCCATCTTGAACCATGATTGGAGTAATTGGAGAAACGAGACGGTGCTGAAGGCATGGCAGATTCCAATGGTGGAAGCGGTGCGAGCAGCGATCCCGAGTTGATGTGCGTCGCAGGCGGCAGGTCCTGTTTAGAGCTGGACCCGAACACGCATTGATGCCTATGTTTATGTAAATATTGATTCAACGCCTGTTAGGAGGTCAAACGTACTCACTAGGACAACCATGAGAGCCGCTACACTTTGTCAACCTTAGTGTTGATAGTAGATCCAGCATCCCAGTTTCATAAATCGTGCAGACATTCTTCATGTTACATGAGAAACAGAGATGCATCCGCAAAGATTTCATCCCAATGATGATGCAGCTCCAGTTCCGTCTCTCGATTCTCAAACCGAGCCCAAGTCTTTTCCAACAAATCAGCCGCCTCATGCATGGCCGACACTCCGAGGTCCACGGTCAAGATTCTCAAGTTACTGCAAAGAAGGGCCAGCTCTGCGTGGTCAGAGAGAACGATGGCCTCCAACCCTGCCATCAACATCGACCAGAGGATGAATTTGTAATGTGAACCCTTCTTTTGTCTTCGTTCGAAAAGATGATGGATGGCTGTCGTCAACGTTGCATAAGCCCATGATCTCGCTGTCACCCATGTGCCGGCTTCCGTACTGCCAACTCGCTCACTGGGAGGGATGCTCCATACGAGGTAGAGAACGGTAGCTGATTGAAATGACTGGGCGAGGGCTGTCCAGCTGTCAAGGTTGTTCACCTCTCGAAGCGGATTTGGCGTTGGACTCGGGTTGATCTCAGCAAGAGCCGCCGCCGCTTCCTCTGCCCAGCTTGCGGGGGAAAAGGCTCGAGCGTACTCAAGAATACCAGACGCAGAGGTTTCAATGCCCTCGAAAGTCTCTAGTTTATCGTTTGTCGCTTGGGCTCTATGGATGTTGATACTGATTGCAGTAATTATCATCTCCTTGGGCACAGGGGTGAAAGAGTCAAAGCTGAAGATCTGGAGGCGGTCAATCTCGTCGAGATATGTGCTATGGTAAGAGATAGTCGACGGAGAGAGTTGCTTCGACGGTGAAGTGGTCGTGCTATAGATGTCCGCCATCACAAGGTTAAAGTAGCCAAAGCCACATGATTCCGGGAGATCGAGGTCCGTGTGACGCCAGAAGTCGATGAGCGCTTTGGCGCCCTGGAGGTGGGCATGCCATCTGCCATAGGCACTCTCCATGATATTCACCGACAAGAACAGGGTCAGATTTCCGATGATATATGCGTCAGGCTCTGCCGCGGTCACCTTTTCGATCTGAGCTTGCATCAAATGCGCCGCAGATGCCTGATGGTGATGAAGCATGGCGAGATCCAACGCCCCTGGATCATTCTTTGCCATTGGAAAGGATGGTGATTTGACAGAATCTACAAACGCCTGGGGCGCTCGCTGGATCGCCTTGTGCATGGCAACGATGCAGACGTAGAGATGCCGGCCAGTCGGGGCGAGTTCTTGCCAATCGGAAACCGTGATGAAGCCGAGTGTGGACTCGAGGGCGGAGAGGTCCGGGCTAATTCTGGCATTATCTGCGGCAACAATCAGGACAGATTCTGTTTTACAAGCTTGGGACTTTTGGATGGATCTTGCAGTAAGTAATTGTGTCCAGAACTATGCTCAGAGGAGCGACGTCGTCCCTTCTCCCATAGCTTCTGGAGGGATATCGTAGCTGGTGGACCACGGCCACGGGAGACGGCACGTGCCTGTTATTCTCGCACTTTTGGCTTTCGTCTCGAGCCATGGATGACTTGAAGCGAATAACAGGCTGTGATTTCGTCGGTTGCGCAGCAGTCGAGACGCGTGGCGGGCGCCATCTGATGGGTCTGGTGGAGGAGTACCCTGGGCAATTGATGCCCTTCAGGATGCACTTCCCACAGGATGGCTGCTGAGAGTCGCAGCGTATACGCCGGCCGCGGCAAGCCCAGCACTGCTGGTTGGGATTCATCAATGATTCTGGCTAGCAGAAGTCGATAATGCGTCTTCGCAATGATTGTGCAGATGGACGGCGCGTGACAGAACTTGGCACGATCTAGAGGTCTTTCGCGGTTGCCTGGAGGAGAAGTCACAGAAAGGCAGAATTGACAGTGGGGTCGAGGTACCTGGTGCTGGTTTGGCAAGGGGGTCGAAGCGCCACGTCAGTAGCCCGGCAGTTCTTGATAAAAAAGGACCTAAGGTACCTACAACAAGGTGAGGTGCCTGAGCCACCCCACCCCCCACCTTAGCTGGTGCTCCTCAATCACCACGAAATGTAAGATAGATGTCCAGGAATGTGTAGCGCAGCTTCCTCTCTCATAACCTAGTACCTTACCTGTAGATAGGTACCTATATCAACAATCACGATAAGTCAAATCGCCAGAAAAAGTGACACAAATGAAAAAAGAAATGGAATGATTTCATACACTGGCGGAGAAGGAACGGAGCGCCGGGAACTGAATCGTATGAATCTTTGGCTGGAAATTCTCAGGTATCTAACCGTACAACACGCGTAAACACGGCCTGAAACAACAGTGACCCATGCGCGCTTTTTAGTTGAGGAAACCTTTCGGCCCGCCCCAGGTGCCGTTGACCATGTTGTTGAAGTATACCCACGGGAAGAAGTCCTTCTTGAGGTGGTAAAAAGCGCGACGGGGGATAGCCTGATCGAAGCCAATGAGGTCGCCAAACGTCTCCTTCGGCTGGCCGCCGTACTTGAATTCAGCCAACAGGACCTTGCCGTATTCGGTCGTGAGAGGGCATGACGTGTAACCGTCGTAGATGGCGTCGGGCGCCTTGCCCTCGGTGACCTGGAGCAGATTGCGCACCAGAACGGGAGCCTCAGCCGTAATGGCGGCAGCCGTTTTGGACGTTGGCAAGCTAGAGACGTCGCCGGCAGACCAGATATTGGGGAACTTCTTGTGCTGGGTCGTGCCGTCGTCGACATCAACGTAGCCGGCGCCATTGGCGAGCGTGCTGTCCTTGACAAAGGCGTGGGGGCCCATCTTAGGTGTGACGTGCAGGAAGTCAAAGTGCTTCTTGACCTGGTCCTGGCCGTCGGGGCGGGCAAAGGTGGCTGTGTTGCCGTCAATGGCGACGAGGTCGTGCAGGAAGAGTCCCTCGACGTTCCTCTCCTGGCGGAGGGCCTCGAGCGCCGCGGCGTACTTGGGCACGGCGAACATGCCGCCGAGGCCGCTGGCGAAGCTGATCTTGATGGCGGACGAAGCGGGGTTGCTCGGGTCGTAGAGCCCAACCTGCTTCCAGTGGTCGAGGGCGAGCCACATGACCTTCTGGGGGGCGCCGGCGCACTTGATGACGCCGGCGGGTTGTGTAAAGATGGCGGCGCCCTTCTGGAGTTTCTGAACAGAGGGGAAGACCTTGTCGCAGCTGTCGTAGCCGTAGATGGATGAGACGGGAGCGTCTGGGTTAGCGAGCGCCTCGGGAAGACCCTTGACGCTGCCAAAGTCGACGCTGACACCGGAGGCCACAACCAGCTGGTCGTAGCTCAGGGTGCGGCCATCCTGTAGAGTGAGAGAGTTGCTCTCGGGAGAAAATGAGCCCACGCCGTTGTTGTAGAACTTCAGCTTGGGGTCGATGAGATCGGACAGGCGTCTTCGGAGGTCCTGCTTCGACTTGAGGCCACCACCGACAAGAGTCCAGCCGGGCTGGTAGTGGTGCCACTCGGCAGGGTCGACAATGGCAATGTCGTCTGGCGAAAATTGACCCGTCCGAAGAAGTTGATGACTGATGGCCAGACCAGCAGTGCCAGCGCCCACTACAACAACCTTGTGGCCATTGTTCGCAGATGTCACTGGCGCCGCTGCTGTGGCGAGGGAGCGAGGAAGTGATGCGGTGTTTTTGGAAGCCGACAGGCGTCCCGCGACGCTGGAGGAAGCCCGCAAGGCGCGTCTGCTGAACATGGTGAAATGTTTCTGAGATGGTGTGATCTAGGTCTCTGCTTCAGAGCTGGTGTCGGATTCACGCTTCAGACATGAACAGAGGTGGTACTTGTGCTGAAAATACAGAGAAGTTTATTGGTCGAGTGGCCCACTAGCGGATGGCGTGATCCCTCTGTTCCGCTCTCGGCGGAGAAACTCTCCTGATTAGGGGCTGTCATAGCGTCTCAGCTCTTACAGCTGGTGCCAGCTGGTCTCTCCAGCAACATCAACCATGACAACATTGCATCATCGATGGGATATCTAGGTACCGCCGGCAAGGAGCAATACTCGTTGGGTCAAACCAGATTCATTTTCAGTTTCGAGTCCTGCGATTGGGGTTGTTAATGGCAACTTAAAGGTGTACCAAGGGGACTCTCTGGCGATATTTAAGATTGACTTGGCCCTCCAGTCCATATGCCACATTCGACATGCTGCAGTTCTAGAAATCCTGCACCCCTAGGAATATTTATCTTTACTGTAGAGAGTACTTGTTCTAAATGCAGAATATGCATGTTGAAATTACTTTGACCCGCTGGTCTAGCGATCACTGCCTAACAAGACAAACAACTAGCCTCTGCATCGCTACTTGACCTTTCGGCAACACGGTATGGAAGATTCGGATGACTAAATGCCAATCTAAAATTATCTTTATCATCAACACATACAGTCACATATCTCTATCTCCGTCTGGCATAATCACGAGTAATGCTAGAGCTTCATCTGCTTAGGTGGCAGCTAGCACTGCTGGCATTTTAGAGCGGGGAGCTGATCATCTGAGAAGCTAGTTATTCAGCAGTCCAAAAGGAACACATTATGGTGCTGTTCTTTGTTTCGTTCCGTGGCTGATTGACTTTACCTACCCGGACAGCCTTTGGGCCGACCAGGCCAGTCGGGTGCCTCACAGTCAACGTAATGCTTGCCATCGAATGCGCTTTCAAGAGAACTAGCCAGCTATCACAGCGAAATACTTAGTGACTGTTTTGTGCAAGACGGTTTCCATCATCAGGGATAGGTCAATGTACCAGTCTACCCTTTCCCCAACGCTGCCGGATGCGCCGGGCCACCAGACTCGGTGCTTCTTGTGACCTGCGTGTAGCTTCACGGGCTCCGATGGTTCTCCGGTGGCAATCCCCTGGCACTGCCAAGCCATAGGTGGCGCGAAGGAGGGAGCTCCCGAGATGAAAACAGGTTCAGGAGCCGGCACTACGGTCACTGATTCTCACGAGGCCCGCTTTTGATGATCTGATAAGATGAGATTAGATCTCAACTCGAAAGCTGATTGGGGACTCCTGAATCCAACCCCGCAGCAAACCGTTGGGTTCGGCATGCTTAAATGCGAGCCAGGAGCTAGGTTGGATATGGCAGCTGGAGGAAGAATTCTTGAAGGTTTTACCGAACCCTCTCCTCCTTTCACCTTGGCGTACAGAAGCGATGTCGGTAGAGAGCTGTCATGAAGACAAAATTGCCGGTCCGCCTGACTGACAACAAGGTTTTGCTGCTGCCCCCAGCTTGAAGCAACGACAGCGGCGGCGCATTGTAGCTCGGCAGTCCGAGCTTGAAGTCGGGGAGAACATCTGAGAAGTGACCTTTAAAAAGCTATATAAGGCACCATGATGAAACCCAAGCTGAGCATCTGATTCTTACACCCTCCTTCATCACCACAGCTTCACTCATATTTGCCTCGTTCATCATCAAGAACCAATCAGCACCGTCAAGATGCAGTTCTCCTACGCCACCCTTCTGGCCCTGGCTGCCACCGTCGTAACTGCTAATCCCCTGACTCGTCGCTCTCAACCTGGCTGGGAGTTCCCCGAGTCTATGCCGCTGGCTGCTCGTCAGACGACCCCGGAGCCTGGCACACCATTGTACCTCTGCCACGAGAACTGCGGTATGTTTCCTGGCTCAAGAACACCCCCAACTAATCTGACACGTCTTCGCACCAGGCACTTCCATTACTCTCTCGCGTGAGGAGGGCTACTGCACCAACTGGCAATACATTGCTCGCCTCGATGCCTGCTTGCTATGTGCGAATGAGCACAACATTTGGCAATACTATGGCAACTCTGTGACCGCCGCGGCTACGACGTGCGGCTTCACGGCCACTCCCGCTAGGCTTTGAGTCTGAGTTATGCTGATTGGGGGCTAACATACAGGTTGATTCGATAGAGGATGATGCTGAATGAAAGGCAGGGAGCGAAAGACATGGGCTGTGCTTGCGATATAAGGTTCTTGACGCTAGCCATGTACACGGAATTCTTTGAATAGACGTCAATGATTCCGCTCACTGATTACGCATACGCTAAAACAACATGCATGATGTAGACGACGTTGTATTGGGTGGAGCATCAAGATGTGACGCGCAGCTGGTACATCGTGTAGATTTTGGAACGGAGAACGATCTTAAGGAGTATTCCCAGATGGCTTTTGGGAGTGCGGATTTTCGAGAGGCTTGATTTCGCAACGCAAGCGCGACTAGTCTTTTACCTGATGTTGATTTCGATTAATAAGATCGTGGTAGTTTTGTTATCTGCTTTTGTTTGTAGTTAATGTAAGTTATACACTTAGTCACATTAACCAAGCAACTTTTGTAAAGAAGTTAGAAGTACAAACGGCTGGTGCTGTATTGTGTGATCAACGGAATGACGCGCACTCTGCAGGAGGAATCCTGTCTGACATCCAGATGTCGCGAGGTAAAGAATATTTACAATGACGAAAGACTGCCTCGCTACTCCTAAGCTAACATTATCATGAGATTTAGTAATATCTCGCTACAGCTAGACCAGCGCGGATGTCTTCAAACTTAAGAATTCATATCTAGTTTTGCGATTCTTTCGCAGGGTTGGACTCCACTGCAGAGCATGACTCAAGCTTGGCACGGGAGGCCAGAACAGTGGCAGAAGCAACACAGACCAAAGCTCCTAAGCGGGTGGCCAGACGAGACCAATTACCTTACCGGTTCATGCCATTTAAGTCGAAGATGAGAATCATGTCGGCTCCACAGGCGCAGCAGTCCGACTTTGGATATACTGATCGCTGAATTGTCTCCGGAATTCGGGACTCCCAGGGATCTGCAAAGAATATCCCGCCGCCTCGCTAGGTTTAGGTCTACCTGCCATGGAAGTAGTGTGGTGGGACGTGGCGAGCATCTGGCCAGCCTGAGAGCAAGAAACCAGGACGAGATCCGGGCCCCCTTCACGATGTTTTCCCCACGACTTGGCATCGGACGTTGTCGGCGAGCGAATGAGTTACAGATGCGCTTTTGCATTGCAGAAAACCCTCACGCTTCTATGCCGCTGATGTAGCCACCCGGCTAGCTTGGCCAAGTTTCTTGCCGCATCTCGGTGCCGCCGGCATGGTTTTCTACCCAATCTGGGGGCCAAGGAACGGCCAGCGTAACCACTTTTGGAACCAAGACCCACGACTCTTCTTCCGCTTGTGCGTTTTGGCGTGCTGCACCTTAGGCCTCAGAGGCCGAGGGCCGAATGTTCGGGGCCGTGAGGGGGTAGGCGCGCGGGAAACGCCGTGCATATTCAAGTATACAACCACAGGAAAAGCCCACATAGGTCATCGTAGCCTAGAGGGCTATTGAATGGTAACGCAGCACGTGGCGTGACCGCTCCATTCTCCATGAAATTCTCCGTGTCCGGGCCCTTCTGAGAGCTCGTATGGGACTATGGCGCGCAGGGATGGAGTGCCGACCAGTAGAGGAGTGGATCGGTCCGTCGCCCAAGGACCCGTTGAAGCTCCAACAAAATGGAGGCGGGTGGGCTATCTGATCAATCTGATAATCTTAAAAAAAAAATTAACCTGCACTGTCGTGCGGGGAGAATCGGCCGCTCCGTAATAAATACGACGATCATGGCAACATTGACCGGGCTGCCAGGGTTCTGGAGATGCAGTGACTTTTGTGATCTTCACTGTGTGTTTGTGTGTGTTCTCTTACGACTTACGATTCACGAGCTACGTCCTTTTGTCCGAAGGTGGCAATGAAGACCCAAAGCCTTGCTCTTTTCGCTGCGTCGCCGCTCATTGCGTTGGCAGCAGGGGATGCATACATCTGGCCGTCTCCTCATGATGAGCTGGAGGATATTCTTTACCTGCAGAGCGGATATCTGGCGCGTAACTTTGTCGCCGGTAAGGAGTTGCTGTTGAACACGAGCTGGACACCTGTACAAGATGACTGACGTTGGACACTAGGTGTGACACCCTGCACCCAGGGCGGCAACGTCAAGGGACGCCAGAACGCAGCCGAATGGATTCGAACGGCGTTCCACGACATGATCACGCATGATGTCGGGGCTGGTACCGGTGGTCTTGACGGGTCCATCTGGTTCGAGCTGAACCGTGCCGAAAATGGTGGCCTCGCCTTCAACAACACGTTCAACTTCTTCAACTACCTGTATTCGTCCCGGGCCTCGGCGGCGGATCTCCTCGCCATGAGCGTTGTCGTCTCGCACGCCGGCTGTGGGGCGCAGACGAAGATCCCCTTCCGACACGGTCGAAAGGATGCCGCGCAGGCCGGCCCCGCGGGTGTGCCCGAAGCCGATACGTCGATCGGCACCACCATGGCGCGGTTCGCGACGGCCGGCCTCAGCCAGCAGGACATGATCACGCTCGTCGCCTGCGGCCACTCGCTTGGCGGCGTGCACAGCAACAACCACCCGCAGATTGTGGAGGGAGACAGCAGCATCTGGAACGACACGGTGGTGAACTTTGATGATACGACCAACAAGTTCGACAACCGCATCGCCAAGGAGTACGTCTTCGGCGTCACCAAGAACCCGCTCGTCGTCGGCAGGAACAACAGCCTCAACTCGGACAAGCGGATCTTCAGCTCCGACGGTAATAAGACCATCAGCGAGCTGGCCTGCCACTCGTCGACGTTTGAAAAGCGATGCGCGAACATCTTCACGCGCATGATCGACACGGTTCCCGATCAGGTCGAGCTGTCGGAGCCGCTCGAGGCCATTGATGTGAAGCCATACATTGTCGAACTCTTCCTAAACGACCAGGGCTCGCTGACTTTCAACGGCCGTGTCCGCGTCAGGACCACCGCCGGCAGCCGGAGCCAAGCCGACCTTGCTGTGCAGCTGGCCTTGACGGACAACGCAGGCTCAGGCACGACTATTGTCGAGGCTGCGCATGCTGGTGACACAATGGGGCTGTACGACGAGACATTTGCGTTTTACGAGTTCAACACGACGGTCAACGCGGCCAAGGGTGTCGGCAAGTTCGATATTCGCCTGACAACGCCCTCGAGCGGCAAGGTCGAGACCCACGCCAACGGTGGCCAGGGCTACCCCGTCGACGACTCGCTCCTTTTCCAAAAGGCGGCGTCGTGCGTGTCTCGGACGAGCACTGCAGGCTTCCGCTCGGCGACCGTTACGGTGGCGGTGCGCAAGGAGAAGGCCGCGGCGTCGTTGGCCGTCGACGTTGTGCGTTTCGAGCGCAGGCAGAGCGTCATTGTGAGGTCAATGTCGGTCGACAGGACTGCGTTCCCGTCTGCCGCCAGCGAGGAGAGGGGTGACTGGGTCATATTCAAGGCACCGATCCAGCTCGCAACCGCGTCTTGGAGCACTACATATGATATTGTGCAGGGAGGGGAGGGCGGCTCGAAGATCGAGTTCATCCGAACGGAGCTGTGCCCGCGCGCTTAAGTTGTGTGTCAGATGAGTCTCAAGATAAAAGGATCAGCATGTGGCAACCCTGTGTTAGGCTGCATTCACAGACGATAAACCTGATAAAACTTTGATCAACCTGCTTCAGCGGCGCTTCGACCCTTCTCAGCTTGCGAAAGCTGATTGCTCTTGGGGAACAGCTGTGTGTATTATATGTAGTAGATCGAGGATGTACCGTGTGCGTTCGCGCTAGGTTTCATGGAAGTGATTTGTACACAATGCCGTGCCAGGTTCGGTCGTGGGTCCGAGGATCTCGGAGCTGCGTCGCAAGTCCGAACTAGGGAGACTTATTTCAAGACCCATTACGCGTTGTCCCACAGCGAAGAGGGCATGTAACAACGGCGGCTGCAGGAAGCATCCCAGACAGGCATGTTGATCATCTTGGGCCCGTGTGTGGCACACAGTTAAGGTCACAGGCCACGACCGTTACGTTCGCTACTCTTCGGAATGCCGAACTGTAGTCCACACAGCTCACTGTGACGTCTTTCGCGTTCCAGCGAAAGCTTAAAATGTATCATGTACTGTAGAACTTGGCGGATATCACCAATGTCACGCTGACCTGCACGAGAGCACATGCGCGACAGCGGAAAAGAAGGTCGCTGGGAAATTTGGGTGGCGGCATCCTTCGCCCACCCCATGTCGACATTTGGTCGGTAAAGCACGAATACATACCCGTCTTTGGAAGGAGACTCTGGCTGGTGGTCCAAGATTGGCAGTCCTGCGATGTCAGGCTCATTCCAGTGCCCCTGATCGAAGAACCTGGGAGTGCCAGCAATCATGCGAACCGGGTGGGTATGCAACGTTCTCATCTGATGCGTGAATTAACGACTTGTCAGCAGCGAATTCGGTAGCGGTCAGTGGCCGCTGACGGCGCGTGTGAACACATATGGCAGACAGACTTTGACAGGGTCACCCAAGGGGCACACAAGCTTTTCCCCCTGGATGGCCCCGGCGGGCCTAGGTCCGCAAGAAGCATGGATGAAGCCTAGGAGTGGGTTCCCTTGCGTTGTGACACGGGAGAGTCCTACTTTGTACATACATGGAGGCCGAAGTTTCGCGGTGGGCCCACGTCAAGATCCACCAGCTCACCCCCAGCTGTCCCACAGGCAACTTGTCAGGCCCAAGCTGTCTCCGCGTGAGGCATGGCGGCCAGCTATCAACCCAAAATCACGGCTGCACCCCTTGTCGAGTTAAGGTGCTTGCCCCCACCGCGATATTTTACCGTACCGGACGGCACCATGTATTATGAATTCAATTCGCCCACGATCTCTCTGTTGCTCGCCTGCTGAACGCGGGTATCGGATTGTAACCCGTCTGAAGGAAGCGAGTTGTTGTGTTGCCGACATTGTCAAAGACCAAGGCAGACTAGTCGCTCCTAAGAGAGCATGACTGTGTCCCAACGGTCTGACAGCCAAGGTCGCGAGAACCAACATCGCGCGAGAATGTCTCCTTCCGCGCGTGGGGCTCCTTGCCAAGGGGCCATCGTTGGTTGGTGGTGGTGGTGGTACTGCTGCTGGATCCCCAAGCCTGCAGCTGTCGGGCGAAGCATGCAAATAGTGAAAGCTATTCATGAACTAAGCGATAATTAAATCTTAAACGTTTGAACAAATATTAAATTACATAATAGCTATTTATGAACTAAGCGATAATTGAATCTTAAACGTTTGAACAAATATTAAATTACATAATATCTATATCTATAATTAAAGAAACGCTATAAGAGCTGTAGCTAATTAGCTTACATGTAGCATTCTAGGCTAGAGGTTATTATATACTTGATAAGCTCCTCTTACTCTTAGCTAAAGAGCTAAGGAGGGTAGCATTGAAGTGGGGTGAGCGAAGGCCCCCTCTGATCCGGGCAATGTCGACAGTCACTTGAGAAAATGATAGGTGCTTCAAAGTGTGGTGTTGGATTGATGATTCCCTCCTCGGAAGCCCTCCCCACGAGTCTACCTAATGTCCGTTCCCCTGATCAGCCACTCCTTATCATCTCATCGCTAAGCCACACCAATACAACCTGCCTGGTTTCAGTATAACGACCAGGACCAGGACAGGCGCCGAGGGACTAATAACCGATCATATAGTACGACTAGCGATAAGATAAGACTACGCGGACGTATAGTTACGTAACAAAGTGGGGCCGGTGAGGATCCCCCTCTGATCAGGGGAGAGGAGACGGTCACTTGATGAAAAGATACATATAGGTGCTTGGAAGTGTGGTGCAGGATTGATGATGTCCGCCCTCTGAGACCCTCGCCACAAGTCTACCTCATATCCGTTCCCCTGATCAGCCACTCCTTATCACCTTATCGCCATGCCACACCTTTCTGCCCTGCCCGGTTTCAATATCTAGGATAAAAACTCTATTTAGTACGTCTATAGAGCTATACCTATGTACCTTCAAGATATAGCTTATAGCCCTAGCTGAATATAATATAGCGTCTAGATATAGTAGGTATGAGAGGTACTCAACAGGGGCGGGAAAACTTTAGCCTGGAACCATGTGGGTGCCGTGACTTTTGACCTCGGAAGATCTACGTTCCTGGTTACTTCGGCTGAAACATAACATCCACTTTAATCAGCGCCGCTCATCTCCCTTGGCGGCGGATGGCGCTTGTGTGTGGGCGTCTCGTTTTGACCCTGCGAGGCTCAGCCTGCTCGGTCGTTTCCTGCTTAACCTTAAGGTTTGCGTCCGCAATACTGTGACGCTTGGCTTTCTACCGTCCTCAAACGTGGTCAGCCACTGCCGCCGGACTTGGCCAACGTTATTCATCTCCATTCTTGTCCTGTGCCTTTTTCAACTACGCTCTCTCATGCTTTCTTGAACCTGTCTGTCCGTTTGTCTGTCTCTTCCTACCATTGCTGTGCTTTCTCGCCTCGAGTCGCCACACTTTCGCTCGCGACCACAGTCACCAGCCGCCATCGCTGAAGGCATACCCAGGTCCTCAGCACGACACATTGGACCACCTGTCGACATCACAATTGTTCCTTGTCGCCTTCATCAGCAGCCCAGCCCGTGTATACATTCTACATACTCCACCCCCCTCCGCCATGTTGTCTCTCACGCTACGCTCCGTCCGGGGCGCCATCAATCACATTTCCACCAGATCACTGTCACCATCCTACACACCGTTGGCGCTGTTGCCTTCGCAAGATTCATCAACTCCCTCGTCTACCGCTTCGTTCAATGGCGAAGCCGACTTCGACTCCCTACCCGCTAAGGGAGTCGCACGATCGACACCCTATAACCGACTGTTGGCCTTTCTGTTTTTTCTATTGCCATCTTTCATCCAGAGCCGCATCCGCCCTGGTGCCTTCAAGCCTCGACGAATGCACCCGACATCGTGGCTCGACGGACTTCGTGGTGTAGCCTCGCTAATTGACTTCATCTTTCACTTCACTGACGACACCCACAAAGGTCTCCTCATGTCCTCCGGGCGTACAACGTGATGGCGGACAACGCCGCCTCTTTCTCCCCCTGCAGCTGCCCTTTTTTTCGGTTCATCTTGCCCGGCAAACCAAATGGTCCACAATCTTCTTCGTCATCTCGGGCTTTCGTTCTCGCCTACAAAGCCGCTGCGTCAAGATACGCGGCACGTCAATTCGATAGCCTTCAAAAGACACTCGCTAGTAGTGTCTTCCGTCGAGGTTTCCGCTTCTTGCTGCCAACATTCGTTTCGACCTTTATCATCATGTTCCTTCGCTACTACGGTTGGATCCCCCGGCCACGCAAAGAATTCTCTTTACGAGCAGTTCGACCAGTGGCAGCATGCGGTTATCAGGATTCTCGGATTAATCTGGCAGTGGGACTCGTCCAAGTACCCAGACTATGACTCGCACCTCTGGACCATTCCCATCGAAATGTCATTTTCCATGTTTCTCTTCGTCGTCATCACTGGACTGAGCCACGTCAAGACATACGTTCGCCTCGCCGCCGTCGTCGGTCTTGGCGCCTTCTGCCTACGTCACGGGCACTACGCCGGGTGGGAGTTCATGGCTGGTGTCGTACTCGCCGAGGTCCAGCTCGTCCAGGACGCCCACAAGGAGCGCAAGGCCGCTCTCGAACCTAACATGGAGGCGGCCTATATCGAGTCCAGCGTCAGCACTGCCGGCCTTTCCGACTCGAAGGCAAGCGGCTCGCGCTGCCGGAGTGTCGCCAAGCTCGTCTTCCAGGGCTTCCTTATCGTCAACCTCATCTTCGCCCTCTACGTCGCCGGCTGGCCGCGCGAAAAGTGGGAGGAGACGCCTGCCATCGACTTCCTGCTGCAGCATACACCCGAGCCCTACCGCAGCCGCGGCGAGTCATGGCCCATCTTCATCTGGTACGCCATCGGCGCCGTGCAGATCGTCCTAGCCCTGCAGCAAATCGAGCCCCTGCGCCGCGTCTTCAACACCAAGCCCGCCCAGTACCTCGCCGACGTCAGCTACTCGCTCTACATCTGCCACGGGCCCGTCATGCAGGTCGTCCACCACCGCATGATGCCCTACCTCTGGGAGCCTGTTGGTGGTATCCAGGGCGCTGACATGGGCGGCCGCTTTCTCGTCTGGTTCTTCGGGCTGATACTGCTGGCGATTCCCGTGTTCTGGGTGAGCGATATCTTCCTCCGGGTCATCGACAACAAGTGCGTCGAGTTCGCAAGGTGGATCGAGAAGAAGTGTGTGATAGACGAGTAAACTGGCAAAGCATGACGAACAGATTTAGACGGACATTCTGTTTGCTAGAATTCCATTGGCGTTAGCGAGACCTTTGCCCTGCTGGCCGCTGGATATTATGATACCTCTTATTTCCATCCACGGTTGATCTTTACCCGCTGATGGCGCATGTGATATGTTGTTAAACATTGCGTAACCTTGATCTTCTTCTCCCTACGTCACATCTGATGGACTCCGGTCACCTATGCCATGCCACGCCAACCGGCTTATGGCCCATGATTACTGGCCCCGTGGATGAGCGGGTAATAGCCGCCTGCACGAGTGACACTGCGCACACTCGCAGGGCCCTGGCCTGGGAATCTGGCCGCCGTGAGAGACAGAACTGTGGTCGAGCTGGACCGAGACTGATCGGTTGTTGTAACTGGCCTGACGGCAAGTTGAACAGTTGAATTTTAGGCGCAAGCATGAAGTCGTCTCAAAAGCTTCGCCGTCACATTTGTCCCTGTGGAGGACTTAAGGCCATCCAGCTAGAATACAGCCCCCCCCCCGCAGGGAATATCTGTCCGTCTTGGGCTCAGGGACACGACCAGCAGAATGTGATTCAATACCATCAGGCATATGTTCAAGTTCGAAATCCGGAAACCTTGGCAAAGCTAGTCTCAAGTTCCAACATGCCTTACACGGCCGTACAATGGGTTTCAAGAATCATTCACGATCTGCCAATCGTCTATGGGCACCTGTTTGTACTATCCATTCCGATGAAGCTATCTTATCCAGGTATTGATTTCATCCGGTGATTGCGCCTCTATGGCAGCAGGTGTCAAGAAAGGAACGGGGAATCGGTGTGACCGATCACCTTTACTGTGTGCCGCTGGGCTCCCTCCACTGGTAGCTATTGCTCTGCACGCGACCAAAGTTGGGCGTCCCGTTCGAATTGGCAGTCAGAGGCTGAACCATGGTGTTGCGGTTGTTGTCACAGGCGCCGTTCGAGTTCGTAGTGGCATGGAAAGCCGTCCACGTCTCCTTGCCATCGGGGCTCATGAAGAAGCTGTTGTGACCGGTGCCATAGTTTCCGTTGGCGCTGGAGAGCACGCAGTTGCTGCTCTTCTTCCAGGCAGCACGGTTCATGGGGTCAGTTCGGCCATCCCACTCCAGCGTCGCCACGCAATACTGGGGCGTCCAGCAGTAGTTGGCAGAGTAGGCGATATAGGTCTTGCCGCCGAAGTACAGAGCATTCTGGCCCTCCTGGACCGGTACCTCACTTCTCTCCCACGACTGGTCCGGCTGCGAGATGATGCTGAGTGGACCCGTCAATGAGATGAAGTTGCTGCCAAGACGACGAACGCAGGTCGACTGGTTGGGCACACCGGTCATGCAAGAGTAGACAAAGTAGTTGCCCCAATCATTGAAACGGACAATGGTGCCGTCGATGCCCCAATCGGTAGTGAGTTGAGCTCCGTAGGACCATGAATCCCAGGGCGTGGCGCCACCTGATTTCGAACGAGTTAGCATACGCCGAGTAACATTGTAGCACTCTGAAAAAGCATACCGACTAGGACGTGGGACCGCTGGCCACCCAGATTAGTGCTTCCACTCTGTCCCGCTGTGTAGTAAATGTACCACCGGTTTCCGAGATAGTGAAGCTCCGGAGCCCAGACGTTGCAGCACCTGTCTGGGCTCGTATCGGTGTAGATGGTTCGTTTTTCGGCGGTTTTGAGCCCTTCAATGGTTCGAGCACGACTGAGCTTGAGGTCGGTCCACTCGGTTGCGATGAGATAGTAGTATCCGCCAGTCCAAGTGACCTGTGGATCGGCACCGCCGGGGGCCCTGATGGGGTTGGTAAAGGCATTACCAGAGCCGGCCACGGCAAGGAGCCCGCATGCGTATCTGAGAATCGTGGAAACGAACATGATGTGCTGGGCTGTAAGAGCGCGAGTAAGAGCGTTGGGTCACACAGTCTTCCATTTGCAACGGCCAATTTGGGTTCACTAAATAGTTGTAAGTTCCACCTGGTGACTTGGTTATCTTTCCAAGGTGCATTGACCTTGCCAAAAAAAAAAATTAAAGCCTCCGTGTTGCGACTTTGTAGCCTAACATCGATCGATCGCCAAAGGCTATTCGCGGAAGCCGCGCGGTGATGACAACCCAGGCTAATCCGTGTCCGAAGCGGAAGTAGGCTACCGAGTTTGCCCTGGCTATCATGTTAATCTAGCTGGATGCGCTCCAATCCCATGAAAGCAACCCAGCCTACAGAGACTACAAGTGGAGCGGGTCAAAGTTAACGCCTCTTGGTTTCTATTAAACACATGGCCCATCAACAGCGATTGATGGCCGCATCACGCACAAACCCGGCAGTCGCTTGATAGGTGCGGCACGGAGCGTTCCTCGCATGTCTGTCTCTGGGGTATCACACGAGGTATTTGCCCGAACTTGCCCTTCGTTGGCCTGGCGTGAATCCATAGCCAGGCTTGAACGGTTTGAATCCGGGGTGCAGGCCCATTTTCGGATCGTGCAGCATGAGCAAATCAACAGCGTACCCAGGCAGGGTTTGTATGTTTCAAGTCCCCCGAGCTCTTGTCCTGCAATCAGCCCTGCACGCCTTGGCAGCTTCGTGTGCTCGCAGAAAGGCCATAAGAACAATTGCATTAATTCCCAAAGACCTCAGCTGGCCGCCATCAATCTCCCTTTGGTCCTCCAATTTCGGAATGATCGCTACAGGGGGTCAATGACGACGTCGACGCTGCGTTCTTTTCTTGAGATTTCGTGTTCCCAACCGTCGGTACTTTCCGCCACGGCACCGAAAACCAGCTGAGAGTTTTCTAGAATGAATCTGACGGATGGTTAAGAGCCCTTGGTCACTGAGGGTCGGACAGCAATCCAAGCCATGTGGCATCCCGATCAAGCCGGCCCAGCGGAGCTACATCTTGGGAATCTACATGGTTGGGAGCAAAAGTTTCGATACCCTCCGAGGTAGCGACCACCCCTACTTGTGGGGGGGGCGCTTAGACGGTACGAACAGTGACGTTCCTTTCCTTGCACAAAATTATACCACCTTAGTAAGGCTGGTCTACAAGCCATATAGACAAGATACTGGGGCAATCGATGGGTAACTCATCAAATAACGGGCCCCTGGTCAGCCCCTTGGTCGGGACTCGTGCCACAGTTAAAACCTACTGAACTTGATAGTATGCTTGTTCCCACCAGTTAGGTGAATTCGTTCCCTCCACGAAACACGATAGGCGATGTGGCGCCACGACACATCAGCTTCTTGCGGAGGAACAGTTGCGATTTGAAGGAAGAATTGACTCCGTTGAGCAGCAGAGAAGGGGGATGGGCGTTGTGTGGCAGACATCTCTAAGACCACCGAGAGGCGGTCGGTACCCTTGACAACCGAGTGCCGAAGTCCACTTGGCAATTACTCCGAGGGGCGCTAGGACAGAAAGGAAGCGGGGTATTCCCGCGACTGTTGATACTAAGGCACAGGGGCATACGTGGACTGGGACGCTGGCTAGGCGGCTGGACCAATGCCGGACGAAATCTCGACCGAATCTCGACCGAGCAAGGGGTCAGCATGGCAAGCCTTATAAAGAGAACGGCAGCAGTTTGGCGACGCTGCTGTTGAAATCGTTGATGCCCTCGCACCGCCACCAATTTTTACTTCATCCCCAAATTTTCGCTTCCAATTTCAAGATGGTGTCACTCCGGCGACTTGCCATCAGCGGCATGCTGGCCATGTCCACGATGGCGCACACACTTGTCCCCAGACAGAATGTCAACCCAGGACCTGTCACTGGCGACCTTTTCATCCACGATCCTACGGTTGTCAAGACTCCCGGCGGAACATACCTGGCTGCCTACACCGGCGACAACGTCCAGCTGAAGACGTCTAGCGACCGCACCAACTGGCGCAACGCCGGCCCGGCATTCCCCAACGGCGCACCATGGACGACCACTTACACCAAAGGGGGAAAGAACCTCTGGGCTCCGGATATTTCCTACCATGACGGAAAGTACTTGATGTACTATTCCGCCTCAAGCTTTGGGTCCAGTCGCTCGGCCATCTTCCTCGCCACGAGCACTACAGGGTTGTCTGGCTCATGGACCAATCAGGGTCTCGTCATTGAGTCATTCGACAACAGCAACTACAACGCCATCGATGGCAACCTCATTGTCGACGCGTCCGGCAAGTGGTGGCTCTCCTTTGGATCCTTCTGGTCCGGCATCAAGATTGTGGCACTCGACCCCAAGACAGGCAAGCGTTCCGACAACAAGATTACTTCCATTGCCTCCCGTCCTGATAACGGAGGTGCTGTCGAGGCGCCCTTCATCATCCGCAAAGGAAATTACTACTACCTGTGGGTGTCCTTCGACAGGTGCTGCCAGGGTGCCGCTAGCACCTACCGCATCATGGTCGGCCGGTCCACGAGTGTGACTGGGCCTTACGTCGACAAGAGCGGCAAGCAGATGATGCAGGGTGGTGGCACCCAGATGATGTCGAGCCACGGCTCCGTTCACGGTCCGGGCCACAACGCTGTCTTCACGGACGGTGATGGCGATGTGCTGGTCTACCACTACTACAACAACGCAGGAACTGCGCAGCTCGGCATCAACCTTATTCGTTACGACAGTAATGGCTGGCCCGTCATCTACTGAGTGATTCTTCAGCGAAGGTAAATAAAGACAATGCGTTGGAAACAAAGAACACGAGTTTAAGGAGAGGATCGTTTCGACATGCCGGCCCATGTAGTGGCCCAGTAAATACTTTTTCTTCTCTCAATATACTTTGCCCTTGATGGTCGTTCTTCCTTATGCAGCTATCTACGTTCTCGGCATTGTGCATTGTCGCAGGAAAACCATGCTGTGTCATCGGGATGATCTCAGGGACGTGACCAGTCCGAACGAATCCTTTCACCTAGACTCATAGCAAGGCTATAGTGAGGAGATGAAGTAGTTGGTGTTGACGCAGCGCAGTATTGTCAGTTCACGCGAATGATGCTGGGGCAATGAACGGACGATCCGTGTATTCAGACAGGCCGATATGTTTATTAGCGTGCGTCGACATGACACTGCACGATCCGGTAGCTGTTTAGTGACGAG